AATTATATCTTGATTATATAGTTTCTCATTATTCTGATGAATTCTTAGCTTGATCTCTTTGTCTTTCTATTATAACTACTTGGTGATCCCAATAACTACAAAACCCAAGGACCCATCTTTCTCCATGCTTACACGCTGGCTGCAGAGATAAAATCATAAAACTGTTCAATCCTGTTATTTCTTGAAACAGTATTTTTAATCTTATCCACATTATCAACATTCACCATAGAACTCTTGATTCATATAAAACAGACTCTAATAACCTCAACATTTTGCCTATTCTATATAATAAAAGCCTAATATGCTAAGTGTCTGGTTGTCCGGTTGTCCATTCAACCAATCAAAGAGTAATATGCTAATATTGCCAAACTGCTCGCTATGATGTGCACTGACCACTTCGGGGTAGCAGACAGTTGACTGGTCAACCAGATGTTATGATGTGCACTGACAACTGGGGGACAGATGCTCCAACCTATAGGTTAGCTTGCTGCTGGGGTCTGGCCAATTGGGACTGAGCGAGATGGGCCAGACATGCCTTGGAGCCCTCCCATGGTCCCTCCTCAGGTAGCCAACTTTCTGTGCCCCCCCTGGCTGGCCAGGCCTGATCAGCCCCAATCGGGACTTGGTAAGACTGGGCTGGACATGCCCTGGAGCCCTCCCATGGTCCCTCCCCAGCCCTGATCGTGCACTGGCAGGGTCCCTCGGCCTGGCCTGTGCCCTCATAATCTGGGACCCCTTGGGGGATGTTGGAGAGCCAGTTTTGGCCTGATCTCGCCAGCCAAGCTGAGGGACCCCACTGGTGTACAAATTCGTGCACTGTGCCTCTAGTGAATTTATAAAGTGATTTGCTTCCTGATATATATCCCACTCTTTTTATTTTTTAGGAAAGAAGTGACTCTTATGGCCAAGGCTAATCTTGCTAATGATGTCTCATAATATCTAATCATCAACTCAGGGGCTTCACCCCAACTTTCACTGCTTGCCATCTCATTTTTGTATCTTCAACCTTTAATTTTCCACTGATCTTCCTATTAGCATCTAACATTTTTTTAAAAAACCTGCCTTAAACAGGGCTTCCCTTTTTTTTAAAAAAATATATAATTTATTAATTTTTTACAGAGAGGAAGAGAGAAGGATAGAGAGTTAGAAACATTGATGAGAGAGAATCATCGATCAGCTGCCTCTTGCACACCACCTACTGGGGATATGCCCACAACCAAGGTACATGCCCTTGACCGGAATCGAACCCGGGACCCTTCAGTCCAAAGGCCGACGCTCTAAAATGTATTTTTTCTTTATTAAGGTATTACATGTGTCCTTATTGCCCCATTGCTCCCCCACCCTCCACTCATGCCCTCACCCCCCTGTTGTGTGTGTCCCAGGGCTTCCCTTTCATTACCTTGCTATCTCCTCTCCAATCATAGCCACTTATAGTTTTCTGTGCTAATTTCCTTCATTTCTTCTTTCTGCACATATTCAGTCATTAGGTTCCTTGCTCTGTTAGCCCACCAAAACTGCTCTCTCCCAAACCAACTATAATTGATCGGTTATCAACAGTTCACACTATTTTTTCCACTGTTGTGACACATTACCTTTTCACCACCCTCCCCTGGCTCCCTTTCACCTCCTGACTAATACCATCAGTCTCTCATTGTACACATCTTTTCTCCATATTTTAGGGCTCTGAGATGCTAGGCTCTTCCCACTTCACATGAATGATCTCTCCCACTCTCATGGCTTCAATGACTTGCTAATATCAAATCTTTATCTCTAGCTCAGATTATTCTCCTGAGCAAAAAGGCCCTATTAACTAGTAGCTTCCTAAACACCTTTTCTTGGATATTTCACTGAATACCTCAAATTCCTTATGTCTAAAACCGAATACCCTGACGTATAGTGTTCTTATACCCCCGTGCATATTACTACCATTTGCCCAGATACTTAAGCCAAAAACCTGGATGTCATCCTTTAATTCCTTTACTCTCTAAGATGCATTGATTCTACTTTACAGAACTTTCTCTCAAATATACCTATTCTTGTCCATTAATGTCACTATTAGGGCTCAAACCATTTTTTTTTTTTTTCCCCACGAATGTACAATTTGGGCAAAGCTTCCCTAGGTAGCTTTATCTTTTGTCATTTCCCTATTCACCCCCTGTCCCATCCTTAAGCCCTATTTTATGACTCAGCTATTTGGACAAAATTACTCAGTGTTCCTAACAAGCCTTCTTTCTGTCACCCTGACTTTCCACCTGCAGTCTGCTCTGCTGAAATACTCTCCCGGCTTCTTTCAGCTCCCTTCCAATCTCAGCTTAGACGTAGCCATGCAGGAATCCGTGCCCAATTCTCCAAACGTGGGTTCCATTTCCCTCCCATGTGCTCATACAATTCACCTCCCCCTGCAATCAGAGCACTCATTTTTCCACTGGAGTTGCCTATTCACTGTCCCCCAAGAGATGATGAAGTCCATGAAAGCACAAACCATGGCTTTAAGACTTTAACCATTAAAACATATATTAATAAAAAAATAAAACTTACAAAATTAAAAAAAAAAAGTAAAACATATACTATCCCTTTTAAAACATAAAATATACTGTATTTGTTAGATAAATAAATGATGTAGGTCTTGTTTATCTACCTAGTAGAAAGAATTTTTTGAACCTTCTATACGCCTTAGAGAATACTGTAGGCATTCATTAAATATTTGTTGAACTAAGAATAGAATGGAATTGTATTTCTTCTTCCTCCTTTCCACAATTACAGATATATAGCAATACAAATGTATTAAAGTATAAAGCTTAAAACTCCTATGTATTAAACTATACCTGAACAGTTAATTTTGAAATATACAAGAATAAGACATTCATTCATGGTAGAAGCAAAACTTTCCATCAACAGAAATATTCTATATTACATTATATACACTGAACTAGAATCTTTCTAGAAAACCCTATTGTTAAAAGTCAAGTTTCCACTCACTAATTATTCTATGAAAATAAGAACACATATAAAACTAATAATGAATTTGTGTCATTTCCAAAAGAAATATGAAATACCAAGTATGAGAAAAAAAAATAACACCTCAAGAAACATTTAAAAATTAGACAAATATATTGTTTTAAATACAACTTTACAAAAATGTCCTTGATTGATTAAAAAAAAGAATGTTAAAAAATAAAGAAGGAAAGTTATCAGTAAAAGATAAATAAAACTTTAAGCAGAACAGGAAAATAGTAGTAATAATTTTTAAAATGTAAAAACATGTCTTGCTCTGATACTAATTTTTTTTTTTTTACATAACACAAAATGATTTTGAATTTAATTTGAAAAGTAATAATTAGGCATCTTCCATCTTATTTTTCTAGGATAACCTAATATTTAGTGCGATGAAGAATCATATTAAAATAAATTTTATATTTAAACCTTAGGAAGATACAATGGCTAAGAAGCTGAAAAGACAAAATACAGTTCTGTTGTAAAATGAATTAATGCAAACTACCTCTGGTAAACTAAAAAAGCATGAAATGAGGGTATTAAAAATGAAAGACTACACTTTATTCTCCACTCATGACAGTCTTTTAAAAAGATGTGTGTATACTTTTAGGTGACTTGTGTTGTTTTTTCTAAATTACTATCAAGCTTTCCTTTTTTTCCTGACATACTATTTGTTATGATGTTATTTTTAGTTATTCTGAAGATAGAAAACAAGAGTATAATTTTAGATTTGATTCTTGTTTCAGAATGGGAACTAATTTAAAAATTTTAATCATTGAATTTTGTTAAAATTTTTAACCACTGCATGTTAGATATTATTGAAACAGGTATTTTAAAGTTACCTCTTTAGATAAACAATAGCATATAGGGGGTCAGAAAACTCAAGTTTAATTACTGCTTTTAATATTTTGATAGTACTTTTTTAACTCACAAAAATGTTTTAAAAGGCAAAAATAAAGCCACCAATACCTTCCAAACCCCAGAAAATCCCCTAAAATATACAATGTAACAATGCAATTATATGAAAAAAAAAATCCTTAAATTTCCAGTTTAACTTGGCACTCTTTCGTGTCAGAAAAAAAATCTACAAGCTCTACCGTACTTCTACTTATCTTATCAATGAGCAGAGTTAGAAATGGCTACATTGGCAGCAACAGTGTTCAATAGCCTATTTCTGCTAGCTTCTAAGATAAAACAGTTTCCCTGAGGCACCAATGTCAGGTTAGCATAACAAAGGAAAGCATACAACTGCTTGACAAGGTATTACTGCATTACCTTAAAATTATCTGTATATGACTTTCTTCCTAGATAGGCTATGGATTATCTTTGGAAAGAAATCCCTATCTTTATATCCATGCAATCTAGTTCAGAGTCTAATAGAAATAAATCTGTTCAACTAGTTTGATTTGAAAATTTTGTTCCTTGACTCTATTTAAATAAGCTGAGGATTAAAGTGGTTCGAGAAGCAGTACAAAGGGCAAAATGACTTAAGGGTGAATGTGAGACTGATATCCTAGAATTATTATATACGTTATAGCCTTTATTAATTTAGTGATGAGACAAGAGTCTTCTTTTCACATGTCTGGTCTCAAAGCTATTATCAGATGATAAACATACATTAGTCTGCAGTATAGTCAAGTTTTAGATTACTTGGGCATATTTATCAAATTGTTTTCTGTATTTTATATTAGATTATATTAGATAAAATGCAAAAGTAGATAATATAACTTTTATATTAATGGCACATGTTTAGAGGCTTTCTATGTCTCTACTAAATATATTTTAATTTGCTTAAAATACTGGACACATTATATGTGGGGAATGCATTGGTACATTTAGCAGCACCTAATTTCATGAGTTTCATACTAGGTGCCAAGAAATTAGGTTGTCCAAATACTTTGGAAATAAATGAAAACTCAATCAGCTGTTTCTTTTCTACCCATTATCTTATACTTTCTTCAAGGCACCTAAAATGAAACTTTAAAACTAAGTAGAGAAAAACTTACCTAGTTGGGATTTTGAATAATAGTTTGCCATTTGTCCACTGTTGCAAGACTGTCGTTTATGTCTTTTTGTTGGAATTTCTGTGGTCTTCCATGGTGGTCTTTTTCTTTTCTTCAATTTGCTAAGAACTTCAGAACCATCAGAAGGAGTCTTGTCATAATTAACACATTTATTTACTTTACTACTGTCAAGTTGGCCAGGAAATTTATCAGCTGCAGGACTATTTGCCATGGCATTTTCTAATTCTTTAGATTGCTTGTTAAAAGAATTTCGCTTAGCAGAATGGGATCTTAAGGTAAAGCGCTTTGATTCTTCCATATGAGTCTGACAATTACTTCCACTGTTAACAGATTCAGGAGAGTAAATGATTGTATTTAGCTTAAAAGTATTTCTGTGTTCAAGGTAGTTGATCTTTCTCAAAAATATTCTACAGTCTTTTAAGGTTTTTGACCTCCAATTACTTGGACATACATTCCCTAGTCTTGGCCCCTTTTCAAAATCTTTTTGGCTGCAATTGGTTCCATTTTCCTTTGCTTCTGACTTAAATTTATTCTCTAAACTAGCATGTGTTTTAACGTCAGACACTGCCACCCTCTGTTGCAACAAGTCATCCCTGATCTCAGGTGGCAAAATAAACTGGTTACCTACTGAATTTGTTCCTTGGAGTGGGATGTCAGCATTTGGTCCTCCCTCACTCTTACTTAAAAATTGGTTCTGGCAGAAAAATCTCAGGTTCCTCCTTTTAGAGATCCAATTAACCTTCCCGTGGTTGTGCAGCTTTCCCTCTCTTCTCCACCTCTCATGTCGCAATCTCTTAAACTCAGTTCTTTTGAATCTACCTAGTGTTAAATTATTTTTCACATTTAAGAGTGGAGAGCTAACCATTTTATGCAGTATATGCAACTTCCCTGATTTTGAAGGAGAAGATAGTGCAAATTTTTTAAAGTGCTTTCTGAAGGGGCTGGTATTAAAGTCAGAGTATTTGGTCCCTAATTTAATTCCTCTGGTATTTATTACTTCCAAAGGGTTTCGAGCATTTGCTTTTCTAACTAGTGAAAGAGACTGTGTTTCTGTCGTTTGCATAAACCAGGTACAGAGTTCATTCAAATCATATTTTTTCTGAAAAAGCATTTTTACAGGTGAAACTTCAAGATCTACAAGACAGGTTTCCAAAGGGTTTGCTATTTTGAAATTACTTCTAGTGTCTTCCCTTTTTGTATGAACATAATTTTCAGCTTCATCTCCACTGACTTGCACCCAAGCATTTGTAATTTGCTCAAATCTATTGTTTAACGCCTCTAATAAGGAATCGTTTGAAGCAGAAGCAGCCCACCACCTGAGCAAAGGGTTTGATGAAATTACAGGGTCCAGAGATACTTCAGAAAGGGGTATTAATTTATCTTCCAAACATTTTTTTGCATTCCTTAAATTTCTAGTTCCTGGTGTACCTTTGGGAGCTATTTTTAACCTTGACTGCCTATTTTTTTCCTTCTGACTTTTGCCTTTTTGCAAATGGAGTTTGTATGATTTATGAAGCAGAGTATTTCTATAAATAAGGGAGCTAGAAGATGCTAATGAATGTAAGAAATGCAGAGATGGTTTTCTGTCCCTAATGGAATGTCTCAAAGGTATAGCAGCAACCATACTTTGTGATCCATTCTTGAATATGTCAGCCTCAGCGTGCTTTGTATCCATCTTATTGCAATGAGAAGCACATTTTTCTTCAGGCAAACTTTTTTCTAACATAGTCTCTTGTTCTAAAGGAGGTAAACAGCTGCTAATACTCACTGCTCTCTCCTGAGGTGAAATTCTATTAATAGTTACAGATATACCAGAGATTTTCACTTTTGCAGGTCTACCAGGCTTTCTGACTATTGTCAAAGGCTTCTGATTTGGTCGAACAATGTTCTTAGAAGGTTGAGGTATCACAGACTTGTTCTTGATAGGTCTAACATATTCAAAGCCCAAGATCTCACTTTCAGTTGTCAAACTTGAAATGGCACTTATTCTTTCACTCGAGTCAAGTTCAAATTCTCTAATATTTCTGAGACTATTACATTCAGTTCGAAAATCAGTAACCTTACTGTTTAAAGATGTAACATTGCTTATGCTTACACTTCCTTCAGAAACATGCCTTTTGGTTCTTCTTGACCTCCCATAAATAACAGTTACAGTAATAGTCTTTTTATAAATACCTTCCTTTTCTTCCGATAGGGGAGATTCTGGGCTTTTCTTTCCAGCAGTAAAGGATTCATTTTGAGAAATGGTAATGTCCGTTTGATCAATTTTTGGTTTGGGTGGTCTTCCAATTGGTCGCTTAATCTGTTTCACAACCTGAGGACCTATTTTTTTAGGTCTACCTGGTTTTCTTTTAAAAGATGAATCAATTGCATTGTTTGAATTTTCCATAGGTTCTTCCTGTGGCTTATCACTATTTGTATCATCGATTAACATTTCACAAGATTCTGCTGTTTCTTTCCCACAATTTAATTTGTCTAGTTCTTTATGAAGGGTGTCATTATCATTAAGATTAGAACTAACATTTTCCAAGTTAGCATTTGGAATCTCCTCATTCGTTTCTGTTATTTTTTCAATTATATGATGGTTTGGATGTTTTTCAGAAGAAGGAAAATCTATGTTTGATTCAGAATTATTGACTGAAGTTAAAGTATATTTCACTCCTTCACTGCTTTTAACCTCAGATAAAAACATGAGTTTGATAGGACTAGAATAATTGGAAAAAGAAGAGCTTTTGTTGGCTTCATATTTTGTTGGTATATTCTCAACAGAGGAAATAAAGCTACCTGTATCTAAGATAGATGACTTTTTCAGATTATCAAGTCTTTTGTTATTCAAATCTATTGGAGGCATATGACTGCTTTGGATATTATTGGATACTGCCACAGATTTTGATAAACTCTGCTCTTTGCAAGTCATTTTACTTACAGTAAGAGATATATTTCCACCAGCATTTGAATCTTTACCATCAACTTCTTTCAATTTTTTGGAAGCTTTATATCCTTCCAATAATGACTGATTATTCCAAGACTTCTTGGCCATATTTATTGTATCTTCCAAACGCTCCACAATAACTTGCAAATTAGAATTCATTGCAATTTTACTTAGATCTATAGTATGTGAGCTTTCAGTTTGAATATTTTTCACCTGATCTTTTCTTTTTGTAGATTCAGAAGCCTTTTTGGCCTTAGGGGATTTTTTGAGAACATAATTATTTGTTACATATATAGAATACCATCCTGGAGGCACAATATTTCGTTTAGTTCTGTTCAAAAGTCCAGAAACATCATATTTCAAAGGAGTTTGAGTATTTTCTTGTTTTGAATTCTCATGATTTTGCAAAAAAATTTTTCCAGCTGCAGATTTCTCCTGTGAATTTCTTATGCTCATTTTCTCAGGGGTAGTTGTTTTGAGGTTTTCTGAAAATGTGTCAAAAGCCAAGTTAGTATCTAAATTATGAAAGGGTAGTTGCAAGGACTGCAATGCATAATCTGGTGAAAATGATATATCTGCAAGATTGCTGTCTTGAGGGCATTTAGAATTTTGTGAAGACCCTTGGCAATTATAGAATTCTTCTTTGTCTGTTGAAAGTATCACATTATTGCATACCAATTTCCTTGAAAATTTTTCACTGCATTTTTTTCTTACGAAGTTTTCATCAAGACTAGCAAGTTCTCTTTTTATCTGTAAAGCCTGCCTTCTAAACATGGGTGAATCAGGAGAGTGGTGCATTGCAAATAATGTTTCTTGACGCTTTCGAAATCTTGTCTGAATAATTTTATTTTCTAGCTTTTTATCATGTTGACTCAGTAATTCCATAAAACTGTAATCACTGGCCTTTGCATTATGCAAGAGGGAGGTTATTAAATCTCTCAATTTTAAATCATTGTCTGTATTACAATCACTGCTAGACAATTTTATAAGGTTTGTCGTATCCGTAGTTTCTATTGATTTTAATTTTTCATTAATACGGTCCATTAAATCTTGAAAAATTACAGTAGTCTCACCTTTTTCATAATTTGTAGTACAATTATTGCTGCCTTCTAAGAGCAAAGAATCAGAGTTACTGGATATTTTGGTTTTATGTATTTTACCTTCATGATCATCTTTGTCATTACTTATTTCTGCTGGTGTGAGGAATGGAGGTTGGTTAATGTTTGTTTCAAGTCTGTTATTTTCTAAGGCTGAAAGCTCTGAGATGACATCTTTCAATTTTTCAAATCCTTCAGTCTGTACAGGTGATAATGGTGGGGGTGAGGGACTTCGAGATCTACAAATATCTTCAAGACTGACTGAAACATCACTGAATACTTCTCTTGATGAAAAAGGAGTATGAAAAGCCGATTTTGTAGAGTGAAGGTTTGGAAACAGTCCAGAAGAGCACCTGTGAGAAGTATAACTGTTTGCAATTCCTCTATTCACTACTGTCTTAATGTGTTCAATGGTTACAGTTTGGCAAGACAAACAATGTAAATCTTTAATACAGACTGGCAGAGGCACAAAATCAGGGCTTTGTCTTTCATTTTGTAAATACCCTCTTTCTGCCAGCCTATATTCACAATGACAGAATAGACCCTGTATATCATCTTCAATTAGAGGCTTTTGAGATTCTGAAGACACAGTATAAGATGTATTACAACAGCAAAGAGAAGAAGCATTCTGCTCTTGGACTAGAAATTTCAACATAGCCAAAACTTGTTGCTGGTGATGTATGCACAAAGATTCCAAAACTTTGCTTAATGCTGATTTTCCTTTTTCCATTTTAGTAGCTTCCTCTGATTTTGCATCAACAGTTGAACTAAAAATAAAAATCAAACAAAAAATGAATTACAGTAAAAATATCAGTTTTATAAGGAGTTATAATTTTAACAGAGTTTGAACAAGAGATATTTTGATATTGCTGGACTCCTAATTCCTGCAATAATGGCATCTTGATTACTGTTTAGCAAAAATATAATGAAGCACTGATGATAATTTCCTGCAATAAATCTGAGTCAAAACAAAGCCCAAATTTTGTGATGTAAAAGCTGATGATTATAGATATGACTATATTTACAAATTGCTAATGTTTAATTCTTTGAATATATTAAGAATATTTAATGGAAAGTGCTTCATCAGGAGTTAAATTTTTTATAAACATTGTTATTTTGATAATTATCAGTCTGTATTATTGCAAATAAAAATAAGATGTACGAGAAAAAGCTTATCTTTATTTAAATATATATTTTTTCAAGGTAATGAAAATAAAATGATTAATAAAAGCTTTGTCACAAGAAAAATTAAGGGATTTAGATTTCATAAATAACAAAATATCTTTTCTAAGATTAAGCCGTAGGCATTTTAACCTATTAAGAAAATAAATAATTTAAGCTATTTAAAAATGAAATCTATTTTAATTGATTTTGAATACTAAAGTAATTACATTGAAACTAAAGGCATTACTTACCTAATTATTTAATTTCAAATGGAAAATGTCCACTTCAGAAACTAATATACATCTAATTTTAGCTAAGACTCATTATTACTTAGCAACCAATGTAGAAGTCTAAAAATTTTTTTAAATTCAACTACCAGCAGTAAGAAGATAAAATATATAAAAGAATTCTGTTTCAGAAAAGTATCCATTTAAATTAAACATATCACCAAACTCTGTACATGAAAATAGCCTCCCACTCCTGACTTCTTATATTTGTTATTGCTAGTAGCTCCTGGTTTGTAAAAATTTAGGGTTGGAATTGGGATGTGCTGATTATGAATTGCTACAGAAGAATGTACTTTATTTAATAAAAGGTTATGTTCATGTATATTATAAATTAAAGAAATTTTCTATTAAAATGAAGTGAAATTTTTTATTTTGTTCCCTAAATATCACTTAATTTCTCAGTTAAGTATGCAATATTTTATCTACACTTTATAAAAATTGGTACTCAAATAGGAAAAATACCAAAGCAAATTTTGAACATTAGATCAATTTTTTCAAGGAAAAATGATAACGCTTTACTAGATTCAACCAATATTTCACTAAAACTAGCATATGATTTTACATAAAGTAGTTATCAAAGTGAGAACAGATATAAAATTACAATAAAACTTCTTAAATCCACTGCCACCTCTAGACAGATGAAAATAGGACATGACCCCTATAACTTTTCCTTGTTTTATCATGGTTGGGAGTGTAAAATGATGTAACCAACTCCCAAGATTCAATATTAGATCATTTAAAAATATATGTAGGGAATAAAGGCAGGAGAAAATGTTAGCTATCAAATATAAATAAAATTATGTTTTTTTCCAGCAAATTAAAAATTATAATTTTTACATAAGCAAAAGAAAACCCACAAAAAGTTCTGATAAGCACACTTAAATAGTTTCTTTAGTTATGTTATGGCCTATTAAACATATCTGTGACTAACCAGTTAAAGAGATTTTATATGTCTCTAAAGAAAATATATTATACTATATTTTAAAGATTAATATGCTTGCCTAACAGTTCCTGAAAAGCTTAAGTGATTTTTTTCTATTAGTAAAGTCGAGTAAAATGTAGAAATAATAAAATCTAATGACTAGTGTTAACTATTCTGAAAACCACCACAAGATTTTTGTATTTCTCGTCTAACATTCTAAGGAAATCTAGCTTTTAAAAGAGTTTCTTATTCAGTTTATTACTTCTATTAATGACATTTTAAAAATACCACAGTGGCTAGTAATTTCCACCTAATCCTATATGAAGAATAGTTTAATAAAATTCCTAATTATTCAGATATTAGATTAGATTTAGTTATTAGATAACTAGGTTCTCAAATCATGAAACTATACAGTATGCTTGTCTTCAAAATTCTTTTCCATATTTAATGCATTTTAAAATCTCAAAGAAAAACCTAATATAAAAAAATAGTTTAATACATTTAAGTCTACAATCTAAAATTTATTCCCAAATGATTACATAAAGGTTCCAAGATTGTACCTCTCATAGATGCCTTTTTTTTGAATGCTAAAAAAGTTACTAAATTTTCCTATTTGATTAAGAAACCAAAACACCCTGTCTATTCTTTGTATGTTACTATTCGTTTTGCCCATTACAAGTTTTGTTGTTGAGAAAGTTTTGGAGAAAGTCCATTTCTAATATTTGATATTAATAAAACTGCTTCCTAAAATGAATTAAAGAAGTCAGTGTAGTCAGTCTTTTTTTCTTTTCTTTTTTTTTCCTTTTACTGAATGAGTAAATCAATCACACACCAACAGTGTTGTAAATTTAAGTGCAAAAGCATTGAAGTGCTTTACTACAAATTACAACCTAGAAACACGTTAACTGAACAATTAAAATTCATACAATCAGATTTAGATATATAACAACACAAAGTAGGAACAGAATTACAGTACATTACAACACAAGACAGATACATGAATTCATTAGAAAATATTGTAATAAATAATTCATGAATTATAGTGCAATTGATTTATGCATAAATATTACTAATTGCCTAATAATCAGTTTATAGTAACAAAATCTGTCAAAATCAAGGCAGCACAGAATTTTACTAAATTACTGCGACAATGAAAATACTGCAATTAAAAAACAAATACAAGTATTTGTACTGTAAACACTAAAAAAATCAGTCTCACTAAAGTTAGTATACAATTTAATATAAAATTATCATTAGCTACCAGAAGTGGTTTAAACAACTTTACTGAACAGTAGTTTTCTAAAAACAGAGGCACTGTTTTTTTCTTTTCCTTCTTTTTTTTAAAATATAAAATACTTGAGGAACATTCAAATAAGTAGAAAGCACATAAGGTTTGCTTTCATCTTCATTAAAAGTCTGCTGAAACTGGATATTTCAGAAAATTGTTGATAGATAAATAGTAACTGGTAACTAAATTCATAAAGTACTTTGAAAGTTAAACATAAAGAACATCTTAATAGAATCACTGGGGAGAAGGGGAACCCATAAATTTCCCTGCCTTTCCTAGTTTGTATAATCAAAAGTTAACTCAATAATTAGAAACATTTTGTTTCTTTTAAAAGTCATGGGTTATTACCTATAAACTATCAAAAAATATTTAATTTACTATTTCTGACCAAAAATAAATAATACAAGTACTAAAATGCTGCAAATTAACTATAATATTACCTATAAAACTACTGATTACTGTGAAGTCAATAGCAAAATGATCCCTGATTTTATGAATCCTGTAAAGTTTTTGGTCAGGTCATCTTTTAAATTATATAAAAGAGTTCTGTTAAGTATCCCTTTACTATAAACTTCTCAATCAATTTGTTAATGTAAATATACTGTGAGGAATAAAAAAGCTCAATACAATACAAATATTATGTAATGCATTCAAGCCCCCAAATTCTTGCAAGTAAAATTCTGTATAAAGAGGTCAATAAAATTGTGTTGAAACATTAAACTTTGTTTTTTAGTAGGGAGAGGGGTAATAGATTAAATAATCCAAGTTCTGGCCCTCACAAAATATGGCTTAATTCTTTAAAAAGAAAGATGACCCTGACATCTGCTGTTTTGCAATCTATTTGTATACTTTCTTGGAAAAGAAAAGAGCAAGAGGATTCATCATACCCTACTATGCAGGTAACATTAATAGCAAAAGAGTGTTTAGTATAGATCTAAGAGACCAAATAACTACTTGTTTAGTTCCCACTCTTCAGTTTCTTTAAACATATGTAAGCAGTTTTTAAATGGAATAGCTGGAAATCTCTTTAATATTACATGTATATGTGATTATTAGATACACACAAACACAAGTGTAAAAACACAAGTATTTGACAAGGTGCACTTTTTTTTTTTTTAAATTCAGCTTTTGGATTTACGAAAAGTGGCTTAAAGAAATGATTAAAACCTGAATTTTAACAGAGAAAAGGGGCACTCAGAGAATTTTGAATATATGAAGCAAATCCCCATTCTTTAAATGGAGGCACATGCTTTATAATATATTACTACTAAAACGGCATAGTCCATAAAACCAACATGGATACTCTGAACCACATTTTAAAACTGCTATATAAAAATTACTGGTCTCTCTATGAGTCTCGTAAAAGTTAAAATGCACTGCCCAGCTTCTAACTACCCAATTAGTAGAGTTTACATTACTGAAAGTTCAAAACAGCTTCAGTGTTAAATATCTGTAAATCTACTCAAAACCCTGAACAAACTGCAAATTTGGTTATTAGCAAAATGATAATGTTTCGCCCACCAAAATGAAATCTGTAATTCATTTTGATAAACTGAAAATGTTTTGAAATGTCACAGCAGCAAGTATATTAAAGTTACACTGAGGTTTTTCAATAGTAGGAGTGTGTCACAATCCTTAAAATTTAAAGTAGTCATAACATCAACTAACCAGCACATTTAAACCAAAATTATCATTCTCAAGCTTTTTCTGTGCACATTATAAACATGCTCTAAGCTGCATTCCAACTTTCTTTTCTAACCTTACAAATTAGCTTATTTTTCAAATAAAACACAAAACTAAATTATTTTAATAATTAAATTTAAATTACTTTTTGTTCTTAGTATTCCACCTTATATTAAAGAATTCTATAGCTGCTGGGGTTAATCACGTGTGTTTTTTTTTAAAAAGCATATCTTATAAACCCCAGCATCCTGCTAAATCAACTATTAAATGATAAATATTAAATTTCATTATATATATAATTTAAGGTTTTCTTTTCAATTCCTGGTGGATGCACTTGAGTGCATTTCGTATTTCATAGAATGCACTACAGTGTACTAATACTGTATATATTAATTTTTCTTAGTATGGAGATAGCTGTCTATTTAAACTTGGATTGGTTGTTTGATATACTTACAATAACTGTAAGTATGTTATATTAAAACGTTTACAAACCATTAGTATTATCTTTCCATTATAAGATGGTTCAACTGAATGGCTGGAGTGGTCATTCACCAATAAAAATATTTCACTTGACAATTACTTGTTTTCCCACAACGCTTTATGCTATTGACTACTAAAGAAAACCTGAATCTTTTTCACCTATTTATACAAGGATTAAATACAAACTATCAGAAGTAAGCAACTATATAATCTGTCCACAGTGAAAACCCTGAATAAAACTTTTTCAAAAGGCATGTAAGTGGTTTTTGAACTGTAAAATTTCATGTCTCCTGTCAGAGTGAGCATCTGTAATTCCCACATGTGTGTATATAGACATAAAAATACACACCTGTGCGCACGCGCACACACACGCAAACACACACACACACACACACACACACACACACACACACACACACACACACACTTTCCTAACAAGTAATCTACACAGGCTTGCTGCTGTTTTTGCAGCTGCCAGTCCCTGAATCTGTCATATTATATAACCCAGTGTCTGGTAATCGGAGTTTCTTCTTCGGAGGAGTCTTCAGTGTTCCAGATCTTTCTTTTACCTTGTATTCTAAAGTGCTGTGAGGTACCCCATATATTCCTTGTGCTTTGGAAACACTCATTTTTCCACTCATTACCATTGCAATAGCCTCTTCCATTATTTCATGATCATATTGCCGATAACGGCCACGTTTTTTCCTGGGCTGCTTATTATCTTTTCGATCCAGTCCATCTTCAGTAGTTTCAGAGGTTCCATCAACTGTTCCATTTTTAGAATTAAGACACAAAGGAGAGAGGTCCCCATGTATAAAATAAGAGTCAACACTTGAGTGAGTTATGGACCCAGAACATTCTATTTTGTTCTGTTTAGGGAGTATATTTTTCAGTTTTTGGAGAGCTGATCCTTCAAGGACTGGAGAGGTTTTGGAAACTTGATATACAACATCCAGCAGACCAGGACCATCAGGTTGTGGTTTTGAAACAGAGCTTACTCGTAGCTGAGGAATTTTTAACTGTACAGTAGGATGTGAAGTTTCATATTGTAGGCTTTCATTTTTTTCTTTAAATTGAGTAACCATTTTCTGTAGAGTTAACTGATGGAGGTAACTGGAAGCTGTTGGGAATTTTAATTCTGAGGTTTCAAGTAGATTGAGTTTACTTTTTTCTGTGCGCTCTGCTTGAGCTCTTGCCCACAAGGCTACTTTCTGCAGTACTGCACAAGTTTCTTTACTGTCTTTATATGAATAACTATCATTGAAATCTCGAGTTTTGTTTTTAAAAGATGCAGGCTTCCCTGCTGGTAAGGCTTCTAAGTGGAGAAGTAAAGTTTTTTGAGGTATGCCATAAAGTATGCCTGCTTTATTTATGTCCAGTGCTCCAGACTGAATGTCTTTCAAAGCTTTTGAGAGCAAACCATCTGCAAACTCAGCACTTCTTTCCACATAGTCCTCTCTGTTTCTGTGTAGTCTCCTGGATGGATGGAATGAAACGATGGTAAACTGATGCATGAGAGACTCTCACACAGCTATGGAAGGGGAGGGTCCACTCCTTTATTATACTCCTTGCTTAGGTAACATCACTGCTTATACACTTTTAAGTCTGTGAGATGTGGTAGTTACTCCTTATCAAAGCAAACGCTACAGTCCTGGTAGGACAATGTGTCAATCGTACGGTGGCCTCAACAGGCAGACCTTCCAAGAACATAAAATCCTAATTCAGTATTTGTAAAAATATTCTCATGATGTTGCTATTCCTGACAGATGCTTGCAGAGCAACACTTAGATTTTTTTACTTGTACAATTAGAGTTCCATTATTAAAAAAACAAACAAAAACAAAACAAAAAAACCAACCCAAATCCTAAAGGAGTTTTTGTTAGTAGAAACGTGACGTTACCACTAAACAAGTAATAAAAGAGTCAACCCCTTTAAAGGAAATTTGTAGCAGTAAGAGTATTTCCAAACATGATATCTCATATTTTCACAAGACCCATTTTTCTCTAGATAAAAACTTAAAAATTGGAAATGAGTAGATAAGTTATATTTGGGTAAAATAATTTTAGATTTTATAAATGTTTTTTCTATTTCTAATGTATCACTGTAATTTCAAAGTTTCTCAAACAGAAAGCTTAATTTACTTCATGATTCAAAACCTACTACAGCTTTAGTTTAAACAAATTACACGCTACATCTACGATTTAAGTGTGACAAAAAAGCTTTCTGTGTAGTTTGTTAATGGGAAGATGCAAGTTACAAAAAAGATAAAAAAATCCAACAGAACAGCATTTCGATAATTACCTATTAATTTAGTAACAGATTTTAATGAAAGCATAGAAGGATTTTTTGTGGTGATTACTAGATATTCCATAGTCTGCCACCATGCCTAAAGCATAATGGAAAAACACACAAACACTATAAACTAACTATAAGAATTAAGAACAGTACTTTTAAAATTTATTGCTTTAAAAAAATTAAATAGTGAAATTACATATTTCCCTTAAATTTGACTCCTGAATCTGAATTAAAATTCTCTTTACTTGTCCTGCTTCTTAGTTTGTATTCTATGGTTAAGTTGGTAGTTCATTTTAGTAACATGAACTAAAGTTTGGTGATTGTTCTGATAACTTTTCTTTAACAGAAAGAAAAAAGAAAGAGGAAGGACAAAATGGAAGGTATGAGAGACAAACACTTATGAGTGACAAAGCCTCTGGAAGAAACTATATATGTCAATCTACTCAGAATAGCATTACGAGTTCTCTGAAGAGATAATTTTATATTAATATTAAGTTATATTTCCTGGATATTGCTTACCCAGCCATTGAATTTTCAGAAGGATCACATATGGATGACTCTTCAGATTTTATGCTGATTTTCTTTGTAGAGAGATCTAACACTCCATCCCCTATAAGTTTTGCAAGAGAAAAAACTTTATATTTGTAACAGATTAATAAAACAAACAGGCTATGATATAAAACCTGTTTAAAATCAACCCTTGGTCACCTTTCCCACTGTTTACAGTGCACAGCTATCTGACTGCTCATCCATGACCGTTTCTATTCAAGGCTGCACAGATGATGCTTTGGGAAAGTAGAAATGATGTCAATTGCACAAAAGAGAGCACAGAAAATATAATAATAAGTAAGAACAAAAATTAGCACTATTATAACTAACAATACGTGAAACATATACTTTAGGTAAATTGTGCCTCTGCATAACCATTGTGTTTTTAGAAATTACAGTGTAAAATTTTACTGTTTTAAACAACTGAAATGAACAACAATTGAGTCAGTGCCTATGGTTATATATGTGACTGAATGGAGATATAACATCACAATATAACACTTTAGGAAAACACTGCCCAAATATTTGTTATTAAAAGATAATTATTTTTATGACAATTATAATAGTGAATTTACGTAAATAAGATTTCAACGATTCAGACATATTGTTAATAGGACAACTTCGGATCAAGGGGAATAAAAATAAACTAAGAATGTATAACACACCAATAAATAATATTGCTAATACTACTATATCTTCAGTGACAGCTAAAAATTAAAAACTTAAACTGTAAGAAAGGAGTCATTATAAAAAAATATGCTTAAAAATATACTCAAAAATACTGCTGGGTTTTTAAAAAACAATCAAGTGGGTTTTACTGTTATCATATAAATCTACTTAATACTTACATGCCCTACCAAGACACAAAGATGAAAAAAATAACATATCCCGCCCATAACATACTATGTATAATTCAATAATAATTTTATTGAGTGCTTAGTATGTGCAAAGCACTATTTTAAGAATCTGGAGAGCAGCTGTAAAAGTGGCACATGAAGTACCCATTCTCATGGTGCTTAGGTCCTAGTGAGGTAGTCATACATACACCACCACCATCACCACCCAACGTATTTTAAATTGAGGATAAGGGCTCCTTAAAAACAAACAAACAAAGAAGAGTAAGCTGATATTATTCTGGCTTCAAGGATTGACGATAATTTCCCTAACTTGTGTTAACAAAAGCTACTTGTTCTATCTTTTTGAGTCAAACACTTATTTGGTGGCATCCTATACAAGCACTTAAAAGGCCCTTGCGCCCTTTCCTCTGTAAATTATGGCTCTTCTTTCAATAAACTATTAGATAAATCCAATATAGCTCTCATCATTTAGGCTCTTAGGAAAAACAGATCTCTATATAGTTAAGTACAAGATTACATTATATTTATCACATATATTACCTTTTCTTTTTCCCCAGTTACATCAACAATTGAAGATAAATCAATTTCTTTTTATTTTTCAACTAAGTATAAAAAACTGAACAGGAAGTGTTTACTAAATGTTCTCAGTTGAATATTCTAAAAAATAAATTTTATCATATACATCTATTTGTATACTTTGCTTTTAAGTTGCCTTTTAGGATTCTCTTACCATATACTTCATTGTGAAAAGAGATTGAGAGCAACTCAAATTTCTTTTATTATAAACAAAAGTCAAATGCAATACAAAAGCTCAAATTTAGCACTTCTTGCTAGTCCATATTACATAGGCTAATCACAAGTAATATTACTTCTAAAGTTTATCTATAAATATAACATTATATATAGTTAAGAATATTAAAACATAAAGCTACGTATTACACAAACACAAAAAATCTTACCTTGCTGAGTATTTTGTTCTTGCATTCGATTCACAGTGAGGTCTAAGGGGCCTTCCTGTTCTTCCTGAAGGGAGTTTTCTACTTGATTCATTTGGATACTTTTACATATTAGACTTGGTCCAATTGAACCATTTCTATTCTCTTGAATTTTACCACTTTTTGAAATATACTCAATTGCAAACTGACGTATCATCTTTTTCATTAATTCCTGAGCAACTAGGGGAATGTTAGGATCACAGTTCTGAGGAAGATCTAGAGAAGAAATAAGTATAATAAGCATTAAAAACTGAAATGCGAAATACCCATATTTAAACTTATCATATTTTTTATTACAAATTAACAATTTCAGAAGTCTTTTAGTGTTAGTCTGTAATTGGTTCCTAGGACTTTGCAATAGAAACCATGTAGATTTAATTAGTATTTTGATATCAATCTCTAACTTGGCACATTTAACCATTTCTTCAAAATAACATTTTTGTTCACAAACTAAAATATAGGTAAGAAATTAAGATATAGGAAGCTCATTACTATGTCTAATTTTTAGAGTTTTAAATGTGTTCTACTAGATATTAAAACACTTTAGTATGTGAATATAAACTATATATATATATATAGCCAAACAAATTTTAACTTAATATACTAGTGCATGCATTAACTATTAAAGAAAACATCTCAACTTTCATGATTGTTAATTACCATTTAATTCTTCAATTCTGTCAAATATGCATTTTCTATACATTTTAAACGTCATCATCAAGGATTTTTTCTTTTTAAATATATTTTTATTGATTTCAGAGAGGAAGGGAGAGAGAAAAACATCAATGATGAGAGAATCACTGATCAGCTGCCTCATGCATGCACTCTTGTAGGGATCGAGCCCACAACCTCAGCATGTGCTCTTGACTGAAATCGAACCTGGGACCCTTCAGTCCGCAGGCTGACTATTCACTAAGCCAAGCTGGTTAGGGCTAGATTTTTTTTCTTTCTTCAAATTTTTACATTTAGAAATTTAAATCAGAAACAATAAAATAAAGAACAGTATAATCACACAAACAGCCTCGACCAAGATTCTGCCATACTCACTCTCTTTTAACTGTTTTTGGTTTTCAGAAATACTAAAGTAAATTTCATAATTATGATATTTCACTCCTGTATGTTTCAGCAAATATCTACTAAGATTCTCCTATAAAAATGGCAATATCATAATTAAGTGCCTTAATTAATCCTTGATCCCCAAACATATTGATCAGCTACAACTATAATGGTCAGCAATTGATATTTAGTTCTACTTGAAACTTGTACAAGAGGTCAAAACAATTGAATGATTTTACAGTGAGAGGTACAGAATAAGGACAGGCCAGTTATGAACAAAGCATATAATAGTGATAAAGTTTTGGTTTGGGGAAGAGGGGAGGAGTTGGTGATGGCTTTTCACACAACTTCTGGCCTCAATCCAATGCTTTTATTTACTCTGTTCCTTTGACAGTAGAATGGCTGGTAAATTGGAAAGGATGAGTAATAATACTTGGTTAGGCTCCAGAAGTGGTCTGACTTTTTGAGACTAGTTCAATGCTCCTTAAATGCCTCGACTTTTTTTTTTTTAATTTTTTATTATTATTTTTTATTGATTATGGTCTCACATAATTGTCCTTATTCCCCCATTCCCATCCCAAACCCCTCCCTAGATATGCCTCCTCACAACCCCCGTTGTCCATGGCCACTGGCTCAACTCTTACCCAGGCCGATAGGTATTGTGCTAATAGGTCTGCACTGGTCCAGGGCTGTTTGAGACAGAAGGGTCAACTCTCTTTGGTTGAGAGTTCAATATTAGCTGGAGAACTTGGCTAAGATGTGTGAAGAAGAGGCTTTTAACTAGCATTTATTGTTACAGATCCCTGATTTTACAATGCAAGAAGGCTTAAAAACATACAACTTGGTGTTTGTGAGAAGAGGCAACAAACACCTCCACTACGATATATTCCATATTTGGTAGCAAAAGGGACCTATGATAGCATGAATCTATTTATGGTCTTTGCAGAAATATAAATATATTTGATCATATGGTGCTGTTTTGAACAGGCTGAAGATGTAACATAATAAACATTTCCATTATATTACATCTTTAAAAAGTATTTTAAATTCAGAAGAAACATCTGAGAAAAGGGACTGTGGGCTTATTTTAACTTTTACATTTATTCTTTGACCCAGTAGGAAAGAGAGGCAGTATTGGTTTGAGGGTACCGGAAAAAATAGACTTAGCTTATCTCCTCCATTTTATAGTTTCTTTGTTCACAAAAATGGAAATGATAACAGAACCTTGAAAATCATAATAGGACTTGCTCATAGCATATTTTAAGGTTCTATGAGATTGCAGATCAAATACTTGACATGTTTATAGTGTGGTAAACATTAGTGTTTAATTATAGTGGAAATAATAAGATAAAAAGATGCAAGCTAATCAATTATATTTTATTTAAATCATAAGATGTCAAATAAGTAAAAATATTAAGGCAAATATAAAATTATCAACTTGGGGGGGGAAGACATAATATCTAAGCCCATTTTTTTTGGTATAGCCCATTAGCACATATAACCTAAATAAAGTGATTTATCAAAACAAAAAAGTTTCATGTTGCCCATAAGAATTCCAGTTTATACCATTTCTCAATTATTATCTCCAGGAATCTTTGAAGTTTTCTGTGAACAATCTTCTTCACCTTTTTCAAACCTAATTTTACTTTACATTATGTGTTAAAAGGAAATACTGAATGTATTTTGGTTAACTTCTGTAATTTATTGACCAATATCACCTTATAAATTTAAAATAATTAAATTTTCCAAAAAGAGCAAAAACATACTTTATGATTGAGTTTAGAGCTAAGTTTAATGCAGAATAGAGATCACTACTCTATTCAATTCACCTACTCAGATTTTGTCCCTTTATATTGAGGAATAAGTCTATGTGTGAAACCAAAGGACTTGATATAGATAAATTTAAAAATAAGATAAAAAAGAGACAATAAAAATGCTGATCAGCTGCTAATTAGCTAATGAATAGTCTGAATTAAACATATAAATGCTTATAATTACAAAAAGCAAATAAGCTGATTAAAGATGTAGGTCAGGGATTAAACTCAAGTGTTTTGAAAGATCAGGCAAATAATAAATATTTAGCTAGAAGATAAAACAATGTCACTTGGAAATGGTGTCAACTGCCCTTAAGAAGATAGAAGACGTCATGATTTGATTCCTGGGCAGGGCACATGTCCAAGTTGTGGGCTCAAATCCCCAGGAGAGGTTGTGCAGCAGGCAGTCAATCAATGATTCTCCCTCATCATTGATGTTTCTATCTCTTTCCCTTACTCTCTTATATCAATACAAAATATATTTAAAAAAAGACAGAAAAAACTTATTTTTACCCTATCTTTTCTTTTCTGAAATTTAACTAATTCAAAGTTTAACATGCTCTTTGTGGTAGCTAGTATCAAGCTTGTTCTCAATGATTTCTACACCTTGGTTTCCTACTGCTGTGTAGTTCTTTCCACACTGTATCAGGGTGGTATGTGTGATTAATAGCATAGCACAGAAATGTACCTCATTTCTGATATTAGGTTATATAGGTGTATGGTTTCTATCTTGGATAATTCCAAATACTGATGTTTGCTGCCTCTTCTCTGCTTCCACCTGTACTTGATCCTTGCATCTCTCTCTCTTTCCTATTCTAGAGGAAGCCATACTGTAAGCAACCCTATAGTGAGGCTCATAAGAGTTTGATGTTCTTGGAGAACTCAAGATGACAGCATAGAACTTGCTGCCTTGCACAACCACTTTAAAACTACAACTAAAAGACAAAACGGACATCATCCAGAATTTCAGGAAGGCTGGCTAAGTGGAAATTCTATAACTGGAAGGGAAGAGAAAAAACACACTGAGACTTACAGGAGGTGCGGAAGGTGCAGAGGTACGGAGGAGTGTGCACAGAGAAGGCTAACAATTGAGTACACAGCTGTCTTTTTCAATTGGGAAGGAGGCACAAGTTCCTGACTGCTCTGAACTCCAGTTCTGGGCGAGACTTTGGGGACCCAGATTCATACAGGGAGAAATTGGATTATCTGGCAGCGGGCGAAAATCAAAGATGTCTTTCTCTCAGAGGTGCTTGCAATGATAACCACAAGACACTGAGACCAAGGGGCCTCTTAAAGGCAGGGCTGATGGGAAGCCATTGCTGATTTCTCTGCCCTGAGACTCCACCACACCCAAGCTATGTGCAGAGGCTTTTGCATATGAATGGCCTGGTCTTTTGAATTCTAAACTTACCCTAACAGACTGCAGCTGAGTCAGAGAGACCCAGAACATCCAAAAGAAGGCCTAAGGCCCCACCGCAGCTTGAAATGCTTCATAGCTGGGCCTCATTTGGGCACCTCCAAAACCCAAATAAGAGGAATCTGCAGAATTCTCCATAGCTCCTGCTGGGTGGCCTCAGGCAGAGGCTAAATTACCACATCCTTGGAGACCCAAGAGCCAGTGTATCCAGAGGTCAGAGTTGGACCATCCAGATAACTCCTCAGATCCATAAGGGACACGCTCAGGGGGCAGACTCAATGAGTGCCAAAGCCCCACTGAAGCAAGTCCTGCCTCATAAGGCTGTCTCCAGCACAGAAGTTCTTCCATCCTAGACATAGCTGATCCTCACAGCCAACTGGCCTGCAGGGCAATTCCTCCCAGTGACACATACCAACAACAATCAAGGCTTAACTACACAAGACTGTGCACAAAGCCCACAAAGTGGTGCACCAAGAGTGTCTACCTCAGGTAACTAAAGGACACCTAGCACACAAAGACACTCTATCAACTCAGAGAAGCAACCGAAATGCGGAGACAAAGAAACAGGTCACAAATGAAAGAAATGGAGCAAAACAAATGACTGGATATAGAGTTCAAAACCACTGTGATAAGGTTTTTCAAGAATTTTCTAGAAAAGGCCGATAAATTTAGTAAGACCCTTGAAGATATGAAAAAGGACCAACTAGAAATTAAGCACTGATTGAAATAAAAAAAATAATATATAGAGATCCAACAGCAGACTAGAGGAAAACAAGAATCAAGTCAAAGATTTGAAATACGAAGAAGCAAAAAACACTCAACTGGGAAAGCAAAAAGAAAAAAGAATCCAAAAAGTTGAAGATAGTGTAAGGAGCCTCTGGGACAACTTCAAGAGTACCAAAATCTGAATTATGGGAGTGCCAGAAGAA